CAGTCGGTAGATTCTATAACAGCCTCGTTATTTGACCTGTCGTCAGAATTAAACTGAGGAACCGTAGATGCGAGACGCGTTAAACTGATAGCGTTTGAAGTGAGTGATCTTGCGACGGAGCACAGGTTCGTTACAAATGTCTGAAATGTTTATGTGTGCTGTGACTCATATCAGTAGGTCTGTAACATATGTGTCAGTAGGTCTATAGAATATGTGTATTTCAGACATTTGTAACGAACCCCTGTTGATCAGTGCAGTGTAACAGACGATATTTCTGATAAATTGCATGAGCGTTAAAATTGTTTCCATTGCCGGCATTGGTGATTTCAACCGATGTGCATTTTGTACGATATTGCAGACCTTGGTCTTGTTTTCGTTGTAATAAAAGTGTTTTTTATTTTATTTTTTATTTTGCACATAAATTTACAATGACATTGTCAAATCTCACAATGCCCAGCGATATTTCAGCAGCCGTCATGTTTATTTATATTGGATATTGTAGTTCCGGTCAGTGTTGTATTAATACGCTAAGAATTTTGTCTCGTGATCCATGGTAATTAAAGTCCCATCAACGACACAGCTTTCAAAGAGGCTATATAGTGACAATGCCATGCAAATGTAAATATAATGTATTACAATGCCAAATTGTATACTGGAAAACTATAAAATATATATCACAAAGCCAAATTATGTACTGTTCAAGTATCATGTATCGAAATGTCAAATTTACTGTATAAATATTCAAAATGGCATATTGTATAAGTATAACATCTCACAATTCAAAATTGTATAATTTATAACTATAACATATCACCAGGCCAAATTGTTTACTATATACCTATAACATATCACAATGCCAAATAATATACTGTACAAGTAAAACATCTCACAATGCAAAACTATTTACTGTATAAGATTATTATATCTCAATGTCAAATTGTATAGTGTATACCTGTAATGACTAATATGCTTACAGCATGCAAGCGTATCTGCGTGTGTGTACATTTTGTATGTATGTATGCATGTATGTATGTATGATAAGTATGAGTGCATGCATGTTTGTGTTTATGTTTATGTACACATGTAACTGTAATACTATGTATTACGACAAAATGTATATGTTCTTTTGTCTATGAAAAAAAACCAATAAAAAAAATTAAAAAAAATCGTAAGTGATAACATTCTGAAACGGATGCTGAATGTATATATCGTATAAAAGTTTCTTTAAGTCAGCGTGACACTTCCCTCGTATATATCAATGTGTCTGGCTGTGAAGCAATCACTCAAATGACTACGATTTGAACGTATATGTAAGGGAATAATTAAACTTCCGTCGCACAACCCTAATAAACCTGCCAACTAGATAAGTTGTTATAAACCAATAAAAGCAAGAACTATTCAACGTTAATATTTTCCAATTCGAAACTGTTCGGGTCTTTCCGACATACCAATAGAGTAACCGGGGACCAATCATGACAATACGTCAAATTCCAAATATGACGGAAAATTAGGAATGTCTTCCGATCGAGGTTTGTCGCCCGAGGTACAAATACTCCGGCGAAAACTGCTGTCTTAACAAATTTGTGTAAATTATGTCAGGAAACGAAAGAAATCACATGGAAAGATGTGATGCAATTTTCCTTGTGGTTTCGATCGTAAATATAAGGATTGAAAGGCTCTGTTTTATGAACATTGACGATGTTATGCAAACTGATGTTGATGTTTGTTTCTGTCATGCTAGGTAAATATGTTTAAACGGAAACGTGTACAAACGTAATAATGATATAAATGTTTAAAAGATGCATTTCGATTCTTAATATATCAAATTCAATGACTGTTTGGTCGTGTCTTAAGAAATATTCTATTACCAATACAAATCATTATCAGAGCTAGCTCTTGGTCTAAATTCAGTTTCGCCAATTTAAATTTGGCACCATCAGCGCGTGAACGCTCGCGACTGCGGCGGTTCACAACTCCCCTTCGTTCCTTTTTTTATTGTAATATTTGAACTGATGGTAAAAAGAAACCCAAACACTGCCTATTATATCATTACATAATTTATTCATTGTTAGAACAATCTTACATCAAACATAACAAATACATATATATATATGGTAAAGTTTTAGATATTCAAAGTTTCTATCTGACTTTAAATACTAGAAGAGACTAACAGAAAGTCCCCATTACCTATAGCTACTATTATATTCAATAAAATTAGAATGCTCTATTTTTTTCTATCTATTAGCAACTAGTATGAAGCGCATAATCTAGCTACTATTATTTATCAATAAATCCTGATTGTACCTACACTGAAATAGAAATATGTCATAGTAATAGGTCATATATTAAATATTGAATAAGTTTTGAAATGAGCCTCATTAATGTTGTATCACCAGGTATCACAAATCAACATCATCAATTAACATAAAAATAAATATTGAAATAAACAATGTCCATGGACATGAGTTTATAATCACAAACTGTCCATCACTTCCAAGAGTCCACAAGATGTCTCTTAGTACCTTGGCATCAGGATGCGCCGCTGCCTGACAGCAGCCCACCTTTTTGAAGGCAGCTTCAACCCCACCATCTAGATAGCAATCCTCACCAGGTTCTCTAGACTGCGGTACTGCGGTGACCTAGGCTGTTCCTCTATATGTCTGTTTTGATCAGGTTCTGCCGACTGAATCCTCTCTCACAATCCTCTGTCATGGCGACCAGGGGAAAACTATCCCTACACTTAATGGCCAACTGAGCAACATCTCCTATACTCTGAAAACTCTGACTGTTTGACCTCACCTGAACCTTGGCATATGCCCTAAACCCTGTCACCTTCTGCCTACACTCGATCTCTGACCCTGGACAACACCTACTAATGTATGACACAACGTCGTCTAAAACCTCCTCAGACACACCTGACAAACAGAGAGCTGGGTCAAAAAACCTGCTAACAGCAGACATTGCAGACGCATCCCCCACCTCCGTGAACCTATCCCTGAGATTGCTTACAATTCTATCCACAAATGACTTGCATGAACTGCCTGCCTCTGACCTCTGAACGCTAGTGTCCCTGATAGTATGACCCCAAAACTCAAATGTAAAAAACCCTGCATCATCTACAACTGGCTTTACTACCTTGAGAAACCTGACCAAATTATCATCAGACTTCCTATCCCTAATCTCCTGAAGGACCTCAACAGTAGAATGAAGGAGGGGGTTCACCCCAGTGAAATCAATGAAAGACCTCTGGTATGCCTTACAAAGGAGAGAAAGTTGCTTCAGCACATGTGCCAGAAAGTGAGCCACATAGAGAAACTTGAATGTAGTGATGGGCTAGTGCATAGATAGGGCCTTAATTAGCTGAATTGTCCTCAAGAAAGTCTACAACTGACTGAACACTAGCTTGGAAACTCAACCACCTAGTTGATTATTTATCAAACCACAAAGCCCTGTATGGAGAGTTTGAAAATGTTCTCTTTTGTTTCTAAATATAATCTATTACATCTCGCGCCCTTTGTTCCCTTCAAACAAATTTTAAAATTATGAAAATAATATTGTGAAAAAACAAATAACGTAGCAGTACATAGATGTATCAGGGGGAGTAACTCTCTCATCTCTCGCACGTGGAAACAATCTTCGATTCCACGTGCGGACCGGTAGATGCGAGCCACTTGCGAGCGATAGGACAAATGTTCTGACGACAACCCCTGAAAACGCAGTGTGATAATTTATAAATACATACACATAAATTGAATTATGGAAACATACCGTGTATCACCTCTTTGAATGCGAAACTCCATGCATACGTGAAAGAAGTCGTAAATACTAAACACAATTTTTTACTTTATTAAATTTTATAACAGAAAAGGAATAAATTTAGATTAATACATTTTTTCTATGATAAATCAGTTCATTGTACACTCGCTCAGCACCTTCCTTACAGAGTTGATGATATCCTTTACAAAACAATAATTATACACAACTGTTTTCCTGTGAGAGTAATCATCATACACAGATATCTTATCAATATGACATCAGATAATGTATCATTTCTTTTTCTCACTTTCAATGTTACGTCCAGCAAAGTGCCCGATGATGATGTCAACATAAATCAGGGGAGACACTTCATGTATATTATCATCCATCAATCAAACAGTATTATTGTTTTAATGAGATAGACAATTGTCTCCTGTTTGTCTACTGCAAAGTTAAGTAATGGTACATCAACGTTGAACTGATGTATATTAAGGCATAACATATTAAACATTGTTTTTATTTAAATGTATTGAAGTTAGTAAAAAAGAAATAAGACAAGATGGTCAAATCTTCAAAATTCAAGAATGTTTCTTTTAGATTTTAGCAAAGGAAGCTAACTTTTGTTGATATTAAACCCATACTCTTATCAAATTATAGCGATTTCATTTCAACAAATTTAATTGACAACGTTGTTACAAGTCAATTGGATGGAATAACAGACAAAGCCTATCAACATTCTCTCCAGCGGTGGCTAAAGTGGTGGATTATGTAATTTTGGATTTGATTTAATTTTTTACATCAATTTTGAAATGAAAATTATAAATACAAAAGTTAAAGGGATGTAACTCCTCATGGAAAACATACACAAAATTGTGTGTGCTACGTATAGCTATCAATGATGTGTTCATGGTAAATCCTTAAATGAACCTTTCGTAAATAAATAAATGTTAATGTGATAATTATGTTAAAGTTTAAATTTTCTTCGTAATACAAACCATATAGTACCTAGACTGTTGTTTAAATAATTCATAGATTTGCAGGAAACACTTGTTTAACGTATAATGTAGCATTAGATTAAGACTTTGTGAGTAAATGATTACTAATCTGACATCAACCTCTACTAATTAAAATTCAGTAGGTTTACAATTATTTCCCTACGTTGTCCTTCCAGGTCGTTATCTGTATTAAGAAGCTTTGTAATCTCCTACTACAAACTTCGAAATGACCTCCCCCCCAGNTAAATGTTGTAATATAAATAAAGTTTATATAAGCCTTTTGATTAACTATCTTCAGTAGATCATACACAGCATATAAACTTGTAATTCACATGTGATCAACTGGTCTCGGATAAATAATAACTTACATGTAGATAATACATAGTGACTCGTTAAGATTGTGTATGTCCGTTTGGACACGTGTCTACTTAGGGTTGTATGTATCACATATCGTCACGTTTCTCACTAAGATTTTATGTCTCCTGAAAGTCACGTATCTTATGCGGATTTTAAGTCTCACGTAGGGCACAGGTGTTTCACGCGGCATTGTCACGACCTTTCCAGTTCACACGTGAACGCGTCTGTTTTTTCTGTGTCTGTCTTCTCTTCATATTCCTGACAGTTTTTCTGTAATTTCTATCGAGATCAAGTCGTTGTTTTGCCTTCGGCCTCGACTTCACTTTTTCATGTAGCGATTGAAAGTCTTCATATATTTCTTCGAGGTCCTCTGGATTTTCTGTAGACTCTACCTCCATACCGCCAGCGAACGATTTTGTGTCGTCCTCGTCGTCTTCTTCAAGTTTCCCATGTGACGCCATATCCTGTATCATTTTACGTACTTTCACCATGTCGTCAGCAGACGACCGCAGATCTGTAGCGGCAAGCACGTGCAGCAGTGTCTCGTATCTATGGGCAACCATTCCAACAAATTGCATTAGCAATAAAATGGCGAATATCAACAGGAAGACAAATCCGAGGGGCTCAAACTGAAATGAGTTCATGTCGCGCAGATATATTGTAACACTGACTGTGTCCTTAACTTGGGTCATGGCGGTCATTATAACGATCCATAAGCCATTAACGAAGAAAAATCCAAACGAAACACGATTTCTAAAATCTTTTAACATTTCTGATACCTCGTTTTTCTTTTGCTCGTCGTGATCCAGGGGATAGAGATATATTTGAATTAAGTCATTCCAAAACGAGGCTTCCTGATCGGAAATCTTTTGTGGAGAGTTCATGGCCCATGCCGTGTCGTCAAGTGTGGAGCTGGACATCTGGGCTTTTAACGTCTTCTTGTAAATACTGAATCCCTTGCCGATTGCATGACCGGCAGGAGTTGTCGGGTCGCTCTCCCCAGGGTCATTTTTGAATATCGTTTGCATTGTTGATAAGGATTTGAGGACAACGAGATTATTGGCCCATCTGAATATGGACAAAAATGCATCTTTACAAGAATTGTTTCGTATTTTTTCAGCTTTCACCTGCTTTACAATATTTGCTAGAACATCTTGTGCAGCCTCGCCGAATTCGTCCTCTGCTTCTTTTATTTTCGGCTTTTTGGGACGATTTGGATTTTCTAGGACAGCCGTTTGCGTTTCCCTTGTTCCCCAGGAAACGTCATTCAAATTACAGATAGCAAAGATAATCAAGAACAGATATCCGGCCGGAATACAAATGAAGTATATGACACCATATAGCAGATCTTTGAACTCGTGAGGGTGTAACAGCCCGGCTAAAATAAAGGAGGCGATTAGGATGTAGAGGAATATTGCCGTAGGTGTATACCAGCCATCGCCGGCGATACTGACGATGATACCGACGATGACTGCCATCATGAGAAAGGCGTACAGGGCGCTGAGCACCATGGCCGTGTTTAGTTGAGCGTTCTTACTAAACTTGAGGCAGATGAAGATGAAGACGAGAGTCGGCACGTAGACGAGGACATAGGACACCCAAGTGGCCACTGGGAACACAGTGCGCAGACTTGACTCTATGGCGAGAAGGACGGTGGAGGGTCCGAGGATGGACGATACGAGGAGGACAGTCTGGTAGATGATGTAAAGATATGAGATGTTACTGTTATTACGAGTCGTCCTGCTGGCGCTTCCAAGGAGGTCCATGATGTTGGCCATTGTGGATGGCAGCCATCTTCTCCGCTGGTTAAAGAATTCCTTAAAATCTTCCGGTGCAAAGGTCAATGCCTCTGCCGCTGCGCAATATTCTATTCTATATCCCTGTTGTAACATCAATGTGCACAGCCAGCGATCCTCTCCTGTAAAAGAAGGTAGCGTAAGCTTTATGGAATAAAAGAAAAACGTTTGAAAGTACATTCAACTCTTTTAACGAATATTAAGAAACAAGTATGTTCGATAAGTAATACTCAAAAAGCGTACATGCTCGACCACTATAAAACACATAGCATACCTGAATGTACAAGGTGACGGCTAGGCTACATGTGTACATTGTATGCACATACATCTGTATCGAAATTTATTGAGACTAGTGATATGAATGGAGATTTTTGTAGTCAGAGATGTATTATTTCCACATTAGATTATGTGACGAATTACTTAAAAAAACCCATTGAAGTTATTGTAGAGAGCACAGCCTTTTATATAATGTGTTGAATGCTAAAGCATGCATATGAAAATCTCCCCTTGTCAAAATACATGGATGAACTATGAGGTATATGAATAATCTTATTTTGTCAGTAAATAACTGGTTTATGCATTATCTCCCTTTGTTAGTATACACTGTTAATGTATTATCTCCCTTTGTTAATATACACGGTTAATGTATTATCTCCCTTTGTTAGTATACACGGTTAACATATTATCTCCCTTTGTTACTATACAGGGTTAATGCATTGTCTCCCTTTGTTAGTATAACATTCACTTTTCAGTGTGTTATCCCCTATATCAGTAAATACCCGCTTTATGTATTATCTCCCCTTGTCAGTATAACCGCTTTATGTATATCCCCTTGTCAGTATACCCGGTTATGAATTATCTCCCCTTCTCAGTATACACAGTTATGTATTATATCCCCTTGTCAGTATACTCGGTTATGTATTATCTCCCCTTGTAAGTATACCCGGTTATTTATTATATCCCCTTGTCAGTATACCCAGTTATGTATTATCTCCCCTTGACAGTGAACCCGGTTATGAAATATATTCCCTTGTCAGTATACCCGGTTATGCATTATCCCCCTTGTTAGTATACAAGGTTATGTATTATCTCCCCTTGTCAGTTTACCCGGTTATGTATTTCTCCCCTTGTCAGTTTACCCGGTTATATATTATCTCTCCTTGTCAGTATACACAGTAATGTATTATATTCCCTTGTCAGTATACCCGGTTATGCATTATCTACCCTTGTTAATATACATGGTTATGTATTACCTCCCCTTGTCAGTATACCTGGTTATGTATTTCTCCCCTTGTCAGTCTACCAGGTTTGTGTATTATCTCCCCTTGTCAGTATACCCGGTAATTTAGTATCTCCCATTGTCAGTATACCCGGTTTGTGTATTATCTCCCCTTGTCAGTATACCTGGTTATGTATAATCTCCCCTTGCTAGTATACCTGGTTATGTATCATATCCCCTTGTCAGTAAACCCGGTTATAGATTATCTCCTTGTCAGTATACCCGGTTTTGTATTATCTCCCCTTGTCAGTTTACCCGGTCATGTAGCATCTCCCCTCGTCAGTATACCCGGTCATGTAGCATCTCCCCTTGTCAGTATACCCGGTTATGTATTATCTCCCCTTGTCATTGTACCCGGTTTGTGTATTATCTCCCCTTGTCAGTATACCCGGTTGTGTAGCATCTCCCATTGTCAGTGTACCCGGTTTTGTATTATCTCCCCTTGTCAGTATACCCGGTCATGAAGCATCTTCTCTTATCAGTATACCCGGTTTTGTATTATCTCCCCTTGTCAGTATACCCGGTTATATATTATCTCCCCTTGTCAGTATACCCAGTTATGTATTATCTCCCCTTGTCAGTATACCCGGTTATGTATAATCTCCCCTTATCAGTATACCCGGTTATATATTTTCTCGCTTTGTCGGTATACCTGGATATGCATTATCTCCCCTTGTCATTGTACCCGGTTTATGTATTATCTCCCCTTGTCAGTATGACCAACTCTGACCATCTCTCCCAGGTACCTAGGCCTTACCTTGGTCGTACTGTAAATAATGTCGGGGTTCAGTAGGCAGTGTAGCGTATGTCCTCATCACATTGTCGTCCATTAAAGCCTTGGCCCGGAACATACTGAAACACCCAGGGCTGCACAGAACACAACCGAACACGTGCTCGGCCGACTTCTGGAGCCAATGGCCGACTGCATACTCAAAGCGCTGGTACCACACAACAGGGCCTGCAGCACGACATTCAATGTACATGTTTCTACAGAAATATAGCGTTTTATACCAGAAAGACATTCATCTCAGGATTTTTTATTTTTCATCATAACAGTGTTCAATTTATTAGGTGAATAGACTAATAATGATAAAAAATACAAAAAGGGAGATTCTCAGTGACTACCATAATGTTATCATTTTATCCCAATGAGATGCGAAGTGTAATATATTTTGATCTACACAGGTCTTATATATTACCTGATCCCCCCGGTTTGATACGTCCACACGTTGCCCCAACTTTTGGATCTTTCTTCATCCGGTCAACCAGCAGTCGGATAGCTTCCGGTTCAAAGTCCACATCCCCGTCAAGGGCTAGGAGGTATGTATTCTCGGACTGAGACAGACAATAAATATGTTTCATCAGCTTATAAGAGCACATAGTTTACGCCGTATAATTATGAAGATAATGTTAGATTGATAAATATATTAATGTAAGTCCGTGCGACTGAAATGTACTGGATTGCTAATATCCTTGTTCTGTCCTTCAACATGTAGTGGCCGACCCTATCGGGAACCGTCGCCACTTTCCGTAAACGAGTCTCGTTTACGGAAAGTGCCGACGGTTCCCGATTGGCAGACGACCTGCGAGCATTTTCACAAAAAAATCTTACGATTTGTCGTAAGATTTTGAGCTACGATTATCGTAAGAGAACTCTTAAGTCAGTTTCACGAAAATAGTCGTAAGTTAAAAAATATTCGTAAGACGATTCTGAAGATTTTTATTTACGAGCGCACTTACGACTGACTTCAGGAAATAGGAAACATCAAAAGTGCAATTATCAAGAAAATAAAATCTCAGAAATCTGTCAAATATGCGCGATAGAGCTTTTATTCATATTGTGGAAGCGTATATGCTTGTAAGACGACTCTTTAGTACAGAAAATGTGAACAATATTAAACTTCATGGTGAAATCGATGATTGAAAGTCTCAGCTATTATTACAGATTCTAACACGATTCGTTTGCAACGCGTGTTTTGATTGGATACGGACCATGTTCTAATCTGCGATAGAATCATGATCAATCGTGTTAAGCTCCTCCCATCGCACTTAAGCCACTCCCCGTTTCAAACCAAAACAATATGGCGTCAAGCTCGCCTCTTAGTGAAATCCCGCTGACAAGGCTAGCAGCCAACAGAACAGAAACGACCGATGAAATGAATTTGTTGAATGAATTGAAAAGTAAAAAGTACTCATTACTTGGTCTTACCTCCATTTATTACTGAAACGTTCATTCCATCCGTGTGAAGGCATATATTTAGATACCAAATCAAATGAAACATTTCACATGTGTCGTATGCATTTACACAAAACTCTTCATAAATCTATATAAATAATTGCCGATTGTGTCGATAAGCACAGATCGGTATGCATACTGACATGGAAATGTAAGAACTTGGTAAATATCAATCCAAATGTGTCGGTAACAGGACGTTCACGAACAATCCAAATAGTCCGCCTCGTCAACATACAGATCGAGCGCTCGCCAGTTTGGGCGGGGCCAAATGACCGACTTTTGAAAGCTTCTTCCCGATTGGTCAGTCTGCTGCAGATTGACACGTCGCCAGTTCAGGTCACAAAGAATTTACTACGTACTTTTGTACAAGGAAATACAATGTTTCTAAACATATTAGCGTAGTATATTTGTTAAGGTGTGTTAGAATGCGGTAGTACGTTGTTTTTCGTGTCTATACTGGCGATTAGAACATGAAATTTGGTTTAAACTCTCGACCTATCGGTCTCGAGTTCAAACTCAAATTTCATGTTCTAATTACCAGTATAGCAACTCAAAACAACGTACTATCCCCTAAGTGTTACACAAGTGTTATTGAAAACTCAGTTGAGTGGCAATAGTGCGCGTTCTAAATTTTACAGTTGTAGTATCACACTATTTTATATTCAATTTCTTTAAATTTTGATAATTTCCTCTTCTGAATCGATAGAAGGAAAAGGTGGGTTTTTTTTGGCGATTTACAAATCAGTACCCAGAGTGCACATTCTTACCGCCATTCTGACGGTCTCGGGAAAGAAGTCAAAGATGGATTGACAGTCTTCGAAGTTGATGTCTTTACCGAACTTTGAGCGATTCTGTTCCATCATCTCATAGCCAATGAGGTAGTACAGGTACATTATCTGTAAACATAGTAAAAGTCTCAATTACAAATATGATATGCTGACATATTGGTCTCCATTACTGCAGTAGTAGTACACGAATACTAATTATTTACAATAATAATGGTAATAATAATTCGAGGTTCTTATATACCGCTTTATCACAATCTAGTTCGTAGGTCGTTTCAAAGCGTTATAGGGCCTTGCAACCAGTCAATATCGTTCTCAACTCCCTTTAGAGCTTACAGCCGGTGCTGCCATTTCGGCGCTCACAGCTAACATTCTACATTTCTAACACTGCCCAACCACGTACTGTTTTTACACCTGAGAAGACTGGAACAAGCGGAGTAAAGTATCTTGTCCAAGGATACAACACAGTGCCGCGCCGTGACTCGGACCCACAACCCTTCGGTCACGAACCCGGCGTCCTACCACTAGATTACCGTGCCTCCACAATGGTAACGGTCTCCATTAGTCTTGCACTATCTTCAATGGTCGAGCTGTGACTACTGTAGCAGAAGGGTCCTTATCATTACAATATACGAAATACATTTATACACTGCTAATAGACCCCATTATTTCAAAGTAGCTACTGTTCAATCTTCTTACAAATCTACAATGGTAAGGCTTCATCCGAGTTTGTTTTGAATTATCCACAATGATAACGATGCCTATTAGTGATAAGGTGCGTAACACACAACCAGTATGTATAACGAAACAATCCAAAGAGATGGTGCGACAAGGAAAAGTTCGGAGGGTCTCGGGTTCCAAACCGGTCGGGCCGTTGGATTTCTCTTTCTCCCGTTACAATAGTATCGGTATATAATGAGGTTCCTCAACGATTGGGTATTGGTTATCATGTTTTTTCTAATTAATCTCGTTAATTTTCAAATTGTATATAAGCAAGGTAAACCGAGTGTCTTTTACAATTTGAATATCAATTAACGACATAATCGACCATTACTGGTTGGGGGGCTTATTTCTCACACAACGTTTAATTATTATTGCTAGAAAACCAAAATATTGGGAATACATTCTTCCCGTTTGCGACCTTGGAAAGTATTGCCATGGACTATGACGTCACAATTGAAGAGGACTTGGCAAGGCATTGTTACTTGATGTCATTATTAGAAGAGTGACCAATGAAATGACGTGTTTTATATATCAACATTCACATGAATGTCGAATCCTGTTTAAAGACGTGTCCTTATAGTGTCCGAACAGACTTGTTTTCGTGCCTTTAGATCTGGTATTGCCGACCTAACAATGTACAGTGTACAATGTACTCTAGGTAGTCTACCACGTCATTCTGTTTGTACATGTACTCTCGGTAGTCTACCACATCATTCTGTTTGTACAATGTGTACTATCGGTAGTCTACCACGTCATTCTGTTTGTACATGTACTCTCGGTAGTCTACCACGTCATTCTGTTTGTACAATGTCTACTATCGGTAGTCTACCACGTCAATCTGTTTGTACAATGTCTACTCTCGGTAGTCTACCACGTCATTCTGTTTGTACAATGTCTACT